GAGAGAGAGAGAGAGAGAGAGAGAGAGAGAAAATGTCAGGGCAGTATACTTCTACTGCATTTGTTCTATTTGATGCAGAACTGAATGTGTTTATTGCAAATTATAAGCATCCTGTTCTTTTGCCCTAGTTCTCCTTTGGTCAGAATCTCCTTTTACCCTACCTTGCTCCCATGATCCGCCCTTCCCAACATTAATCTCTTTTTCTTTTCATGTCTATTACTCTCCTCAAAGTGGCATTAATAGGAAAAATATTAAATGCTTAAATTAGCAAAGTGTCTTTGGGGGGCATTTTGGTTTTTAACACTGGCTTATTTCCTCCTTTTAACAAATATGTAAGTTCTCGGTACACAGTAAGTACTGGATAAGTGTTTGTTGAACAAAGGTCATCTTTTAACTATATCTTAGGTGGTAAGATCAATAATGGTGGTGATTATATTTATTTTATTCATTTGTTCATTCTTTCAACAAATATTAGTTGTGTGGTAGTGGTCCTGGTGGTATAGCAGAGCAGCAGGGGCAAGGTGAGCAGCCCACAAATTCAGTCTGAATGATACATTGGACACTGCCCAGGATTTTGAGTCAGGATATTTAGATTTCATATTTCAATATAACACTGAACAAACTGCCTGATTTTTCTGAGCCCCAGTTTCTCCACCTGTGGAATAGGAATGGTGAAAACAGCCCTATCAGGAATTTCTTGTGAAAATGAATGTAACAATGCTCTGGGCATTTAAACATACGTACAAATGTTATTTCTAGAATATGCTGTAAAGGCAGCGAAACTAGAAATCAGACCTAGTATTCATGGGGGCAGGTCTATTTAGTGTGGTAGGGGCAAACGCCACTTTCACTGGTAAACTGACTCCCCTTCTTGTCTCCACTGCTCAGTCACTTGGAGGAGGGTATACCATGTTCCTCGGTGGGTCTTTGGTTAAGTTTCATCCCCCTCCAACAAGGAGGTAGGCTAAAGAATGAAATAGAGAACAGGAGATTGGTCACAAAATGATAGAACATTGATAAAATTAAGGACTTATTTTCTTTATTTTTAAGTTTCAGGTTTGGGTTTAAGTACGGTTGGTGTGGGCAACTGTTGGGTAAACACTAATCAGTGCCTAGGAAAGCTCGCAAAAGGACGCTAAAGAATGTGATAGGAAGGAAATGGAGAGAGGAAGCTGGCCACTTCCCTTGTCTCCAACCCAGAGGTGAGGACCATTGCAGAGTGACCTGGTTGTAAAGTTTAAAATCTGAAGGCCTCCACTGCACAGTGGGCGAGCAGTCTGTCCTAGGTGTTGCCCCTGCTTGTAGGCACAGAGTGCTCTCCTGGTATCCTGGCCAGCTGCCACCCAGAAGCACATAAAAAAATGTCCAAAACCTCTCAGTTGAGYCCTCCAAATTCTTTCTTTGGGATCAGTAAACAGTGTGCTCGGGTGTCTACAGCCCTGGAAGGATAARCAACATTTCCTAACCACCTTCTTGGACATTACATTGTTCTTCCAAACTGGGGACGTCCCAACAGAGCAATTTAAACATGCTAGGTCAAAAGCAAGAGATGAAATGAAAGCCTTCACACCCCTGTTTGAAAAGGGGTGTGTTTTGGCATCAACACATCAGGTAACTTGTCGGCCATTAGCAGCGTAGCCATCAGAAGCAGTCAGAGAAGCAGGAGAGGCAGTGGGGTGGATGGACGGCAGGTTTTTCTCAGCCTTCTCTTTTATGGGAATTGGTGAATAAATAAGCAGTTATTTTCATAACGTGCTTTAGCAGTTTCTAAGGAAATAAATTTTAATCTTATGGCTCTCCCAGGCTTGTCAAAGCTAATGAGGTATAAGATAACATTTCCCTCCTCATCAGGAACTCATACACTCATACACTCAATGTCAACACTAGCTGTTTTCTTTTGGAAGAAATGATTAATGACTTACCTAAGATCGTACTGTTAAACAAAACTCTAACTCAAACCAGATTCTCCCCATTTCTAGTCCATTGGCCTTTACCTAGCCTTAAAACTCACACATGCAAACAGAAAGGTACATTTATCTTTCCCCCAAGAAATAATTGATTTACTTTAAGAAAATCAATGTAATAAGTAATAAGCCAATATTGATGCATTATTGTTAACCGAAGTCCATTTTATTCAAGTGTATGCTTTGCATAGAACTTCCTTCCAAAGATCACAGTAAAGAAATAGGGTAAAAGAGTAACTCAACAGTGGAGAAACTTGACCAGCACTATTCAGTCAGGTGATCAAGGTCAACACTAACAGTCATAGGTCACGGTGGTGGTAAGCACCCTTGATTTGATGTGATCAAAACAGCATGCTAACTCGTGATCTTCCTCCCCAGATCATAACTCCAGGGTAATCATGAGAAAATGATCAGATAAATGCCCACAGAGGAGAATCCTACACAGTGCCTGACCAGCTCTCCTCAAAATTGTCAAGGTCATAAGAAATAAGCAAAGTCTGAGAAAATGTTACAGCCAAGCAAAGCCTAAGAAGAAATGAAAACTAAATGCAATGTGGAATCTTGGGAGGGGGAATCCTAGAGTAGAAAAGTAGCATTACATACAAACAAAGAAACATGAATAAAATGGACTTTGGTTAACAATAATGCATCAATATTGGCTCATTACTTCTAACAAATGTACCACATTTCCCTGATATAATAAGGGAAATTAGGAGTAGATTATATGTAAACACTCTATTTTCTCAATTTTTCTGTAAATCTAAAACTAGTCTCTGAAAAGAATCTTTTTAAAAAAACATCAACAAGTTACAGTGTAAATTATATAAGAGAAACAACTTACCAGATGTTTCTGAATAGAAAAAAAAATTCTGCTTTGGTTCTAGAAGTCCACAAAAAAAGATTAGGGCAGCTCTCTGTCTTGGTACAGATATTTGGAACCGGCTATATAAGGGGTACGTGGACCTTGCAGCCCGTCACAAAGTCACATTACACAGCAGAAGTGAAACTAACTTGCCATCCGGAGGCTATTCACCACAGTCTCCTCCCTCACAGGACACAAGCTATTTTCTACTTTCATTTAAACTTAAATTATATGTGAAGGCTCATGCACCCTTCTCTGCCTTCTTCCTGTAAACAGGAAGATCTTAGTCCTTCTCCTGTTCAGTAGTATCTAAATCACTTTCAGGCTGACATTCTCCTGATTGCAGTATCCACTCTGCAACATTCTTTCTTGGAGGGTGAACGCTATTCAGGTGGATCTGRCTCACTTAAGCAGAATGGAAAAATGTCCCAGTTGCAAGAGAGATAAAGAGCTGGTTTCTGGACACCAAAAACWTGGCTGGGAGAGATGAAGAATATGCGACAATAAAAATAAACCAATTCTTGATAAAAAGTCCTGAAGTTCACCCAAAATAAAATCCATAAAAAATTTAACACTTGATTGTTTGATTAGAKAAATGAATGGCAAGCCACTTTAAATAACTCTTTCTGAAACTTCAGTTTTAAATCCATATTTTTAAGAACAGATATTTTTAAAGTACTGTCCAATAGAGAAGAGAGGAAAAGAAAACCTATTCCACTGTGCTGTGCCTGGGAACCAAACAATGACTCTGACTMCAGGGAAAAGACTTTAACCTTCAGTTTCAGGTTGTGTGTAACCTCCAAAAGCTGACTGGCTCCTCAYCAGGTCACCTCTCAGGGACTCAGGGACTCTAGGTGTGTACTTAGTCCAAAGTGGGGATGTAGAAAGTAAATGGATCAAAATGAGGAAAGAATTGAAGGTGAGTCTTTTTTTTTTTTTTTTTTTTGGTACTGAGGATTGAACCCAGAGGTGCTTAACCACTGAGCCATACCCTCAGCCATTTTTAAAATATTTTATTTAGAGACAGGGTCTCCCTGAGTTGCTAAGTGCCTCGCTAAATTGCTGAAGCTGGTTTTGAATTCTGTCCTCCTGTCTCAGCCTTCGGAGCTGCTGGGATTACTGAAGGTGAGTCTTAAAAGACTGCTTTGAACTTTTAGCAAGATGATGTACCCCCTCCATAAGAAAATCATAGAAGGGCCAATATAAAGTTCAAAACAAAGAAAATCCATATGAATGCCTTCGTTGGTGTGGGATCTTCTTACCACTCTGGGCTAAATCGCTTTCAGGCTGACATTCATATCACACGCGCTCAGCTCTCCCTCTGCCGGCGATTTCTTTGCATCMACAGTTATCTCTATTCCTAACCAGAAGTGCTCCCAAATGACTKAAGAACTAAACTAGTTTTGAGTGTTTTTAAAGATGCCTAAATTCTTTATGATAGACCTTGGAACCTGCTATTGGAGACCCAAAAACCTGGTCTCTTGGAAAATATTTTCATCGGTCTTAAGGTGACAAAAAGTACGGACACCATTGACAGGACAGGTCGTGTCATAGTGGGGTCATATCCCCGCCTCTATTAATGGAAGGGTTCTTAACCTGTGGTCCGCGGACAAAGGAGGTSTTGGATGAGATTTTGGAAAAACTATCCCCAGTCCTGCTTCCAAACTCTGCAAAATGTATGTTTTTCTGGAGAGACAGCCACAGCTTTCAGGATGGTTACCAATGGAAGGGTATATGCCATTCTTCTGGGACCACAGTGACCCACTGGCCTCACAGCCTGCAGGTCAGACAGTTATTACTGGATTCCTGCCTGGTGTCTTCCAGGCTCTGAACTGGCTTCCACCACATGGGCCTGCGGTCTCCCCACGCCTTCCCACATGAGCTCCCACACGCCATTCAGGGACCACCCGCCCTCACTTAGGCTTCCTGGGGCAGAAGCTCTGCCTCATCGCTGCACTGCCCGGGCAGGTCTTTCCAGCTCCCAAGCGGCCACTCAGTTCATGCCTGGGTCCACAGACCCTGCGGGGCCGCGGTCGAGCCCCGCCCCTTCAGAGCCCCGCCCCTAGCGCYCGCCCCTCTCGCTCCGCCCCTTCTTCCCGCCCCGCCCTGGGGACAGAGCGCTGCTGTGTGCGCGCAGACTTCTGGGAAGAGCTTTACGGTGTGGTAGCTGTCCTTTTACGACGGGCGGGGTTGCTTTGTGGCTGTTAACTTTCTCCGTGGTCTGAGCTACAGTGTCGTGGTGGCATCAGCTCCGACGGCGCAGAAATGAGGCAGAAGCGGAAAGGTGCCAACCGGGAGGGCGAGGGGGAAGGGGGGGTGGTCGCCCCGGCGGTCAGGTGCAAAACCCAGCTTTCCCCCGCGGGAAATCTGCTGCCCGACCCAGTCTCCTCGCCCCCGGGTCGGTGGTGGGTGGATTCCAGCCCCCGCCTTCTCATTTCCTCGGGATGCTGTTTAAACCAGCCTACGCTGACTCTCCGTCTGCCTCCCGGGCAGGCTCTTGGTGTCTTTTGCATAAGTCGCWGGGTGAGCTTTATAGCAAAGTGTGCTCTTCAAGGAGTTAACGTGGTTAGTGCATTTAACGCCTTCGCGGACTCTCACGTTAAGGTTTATTTTACGAGGCATTTGACGTGTCTGAGATTTTCTTTTTAAGCCTTAAATATGAAAAGCCATGGGTTATCCTTGAAGTCTGTGGAACAGTTGTGCATGCGTTGACTCCCATTTCTATTTCCTGAGCTAGCTCGGAGCATTTTTCTTTAGTTTCTCAACGGAAAGGAGTGAAATTTTAGACGTCCTCCCAGGTTCTGTTCTTATCGCCATGTGCTCACTGGTCTAATAATGCTAATGGTTACCAGAATAAGAACTACTTTTATTGAGTCTTTACTAGTCATTCCGAAGTCACTATCATCTCCATTTTACGCATAAAGAGATTCAGTTAAGTAACTTTCCCAACCCAAAATTATACATAGGAGATAGGGAGCTGGTTGGTCAGGCTGTGTCTGTGACTCCAAAAACATAAATGAAAAGTAAATGTGTGTCCTTAATCACTATGCCTCTTGGCATTAATTACTATTTATCTTTCCAAGCAGCAGCTCCCAGACTCCTGAGTGTTGTCTATTAATCTTGTCACATCAAACTCGACATGCCCCAAATTAAATTTGTCCTTATCTCTAACTTGCTCCTCTCAGTCAGCCAGGCCAGACAACTTAATTATTTTAGCTTGATCTGACATCAAACCCTGATATCTGTTACTTAGAAGTCACACTTGAAATAGTTTACCCTTTGTCATTTTGGTCACTGTCATCCTAATCTGCTTTCACCAATAACTAATATTTGAAAAATACTTTGGCTTTCATATATGTTATCACATATATGTGATCTTGTGAGATTTGTGCATACTATACCAATTTTACAGACAAGGACATAGATACTCAGAAGGCTTTAGATCCTCCCTTTATCACATAGTCAACAAAGGTTGGGATTGGAATCTGCCTTGTTAAAGGTTTTTGTTTTATTTGTTTTGAATTTCAGATCTTGTGGACTTTTAAATATTGCCTTTCAAGAGCCTTTTGCTTAGTGTCCAGTTTATATGTATGCTTTTCCCCTTTGAAATCATTCTTTGTATGACATTCTCATTTTTTTAAAACACTACTTTCACCTTTTTGTTTCCAAAGTTGAGAATATGAAACTCTCTGCTGTATATTGCATTCTATTTAAATGCCTTTGTCTTGTGCCATTGTACTCTCAGCTATCTGACCTTTGCTGAACTCTGGGCCCTGTCCGGCAGCTTGTGCTGTAGTTAGGCAGTGCTCCTTCACACACAAATAGGTTACTCTTATGCATGACATTAGTCCTTCTAGATTGCTTTCTGGGTTCAGATCCTGCCCATGTTCAGAAAAAAGAGCCCGTGCCATTTCTTCTATGAAGCTTTTTCTAATTTACTGTTTTATTTAATTCAAGTGGTTTTCAGATCTTCATCTATTTTTTATCCTTTTACCCTCCAAATAAAGTTTTCTGCAGAACCTCAGTATATAAGGAGATGAAAACAGAGCTGCTGTGGTGTAATGGAGAGAGACCCTTCCCTTCCCTTCCCTTCCCTTCTTCCTCTGCCACCACCACCAGCCCTTCCTGTTACATGGCCCGCCCCTTAAGCACCTTTGTAAAACTCTGAAGTGCTGAACTATGTGAGTTGGAAAGCATTTAGCCCCTGACTGTAGGCAGACTTTTTCTCTCAAGTTGTTTTTGTGTGTTAATTTTGTCTCCTTAAATAGAGGTGTGTAGCTCAGTGTGGTGGGGGAGGGGGGGAACCATGGAAATGATAGTGAAAAGACTGGATTTGTGCATTTACAAAGATGTTGTAACTTACCTTTGCTGATTTTATCTGTAAAAGGGGACAACAATACTTATGTTACAGTGTTTCAAGTGAAATCAAAGTAAATGAAAGGGCTTCAGGGCTTTCTCATCCATCCTTCTGTGATGACTTCATTATCACTGCATACCAGCTTTCTGTGCAGGCAGAAGCATGCTGGCCCACAGCCCCAAGCTGAAAAAGAGTGGCATCTTTTTCCTTGAGGAAAAGAACTCAGATTGGCCTTGAACCAGTAAACTGGGATTGAGGATGGGGTCATGTAAGAACATGATAGCTTCTGCTGTGTCTTTGGATGACAAGGGGAACCCAAGTTGGCAGGAGAGGGTAATGATGGTGGGCAGACTGGATCTTAGAAACATGTTAAGATCCTTAATGGTGTAAAACCTACAGCCCTGCTTTGCAATGCTGCTACTACAAATAGAAGATAGATTTGAGTTTCAGCTTCACCCTTTGTGATATCTTTATGGGCAATTGTTCTGTCTGCCACACTCTGTTCTAGGTATCAGTTGAATTAATGCATCTAAATGTTCTCTATGAACTGTAAAGTATGCAAAATTAGTAATTACTAATCTGGAGCTAAAAACAAGATATTTAGTTACTGTACAAGTAGGGGGTTGGGGCCTTTTTTCTAGCTTATTTTTGTAATATTCTTATAATGTTATATGCTTCTAATGGGACCTTTTCCCATGTGTAGGTAAAGCCAGGTTTGTTTCAAAATAAAGATACAAAAGATATGATCTCATTGTAAACAACAGATATTTAGTGTCTTCTAAACTTGAGCTACTCTCTCATAGTTGGATTGATTTTGAAGAAAAACTCCTACTAAATAAGATTTTAAAATCTTTACTAAATAATGTATTTTTTAAACTACTTTTGAATCTTATCTTTTCAGGAGATCTCAGCCCTGCTGAGCTTATGATGCTGACTATAGGAGATGTTATTAAACAACTGATCGAAGCCCATGAACAGGGGAAAGACGTTGATCTTAATAAGTAAGTGTAAAAAGTGGTAGTTTTGTTCATAAGTAGTAGTTCACATTTTGAAAGAATTATAATACTACTTGTTTTTTGTTTGTTTGGTACTGGCAATTGATCCCAGGAGTGCTTTACTACTGAGCTAAATCTCCAGCCCTTTTTTTTCTTTTCTTTTTTTAATATTCTGTTTTTTAGTTGTAGTTGGACATAATGCCTTTATTTTATTTTTATTTGGTACTGAGGATCGAACCCAGAGCCCTGCACATGCTAGGTGAGTGTTCTACTGCTAAGCCACAACCCCAGCCTCTCCAGTTCTTTTTTTTCCCCTCTTTTTTTGTTTTGTTTGGCTAAGGGTCTTGCTCAGTTGTGCAGGGCTCATTAAGTTGCTGAGGCTGGCCTTGAACTTGCAGTCCTTCTGCCTCAGCCTCCCCAGTTGCTGAGATTACAGGAATGTGCCACTGAGCTCAGCTAATACTACTTGTTTCCTATTTCATATTTTAGTTGAGAGCTATAGCTTTCTACTTTGCTCTGTCACTTGTTTGTGGCAAAATTGTCTCGTAGTATAATAATACTCATAGTTTCTAATGTTCATTGGGCACTTTCTATATTTCAGGTACTGTTATTAGTGCATTGTATGTAATAGCTCAGTTAATCCTCTCAAAACCGGTTCCTATCAAAAATATTGGCCGAGTACTGGTATCATCCTTATTTGACAGATGGGTAAGCTGAGACAGAGAGAAGTTAAATAATTTGTCCAGAGGTAAATAACTAATAATTGGCAGAGCTGGGATTTGGAATTAGGTCATCTGTCTCCAGAGTCCATGCTCTTATCTTCTGGGCTACATCATTTTATATCCTACTTCTCTTTCCTACTGCCTCAGAGAAAGCAGCTGTTCTTTGGGGACAATACTTCCTTTGGGCCCTTGATGTAATCCAGCCCCCTCCTCTTTAGATCCTCATTGACACATGCATCCACTTCCTTTCCATAATCACATTCATGTTGGTCTTTGCCATACCCTCAAATGAGAATGGTCTTTCATCTCTGCATTTTTTAAAATTGTATATTCGCTGTATAGATCAGCCCTAAAGAAAGAGTTCTACCCCAACTCAGGTCACCTAATCACCACACGCATGACCTATTCTTATATCCTGTTCTCTTCTTACTTAAGCTTCTATAATACTTGGCCCCTTCCCTGAAACATCATGTTCAGTAAACATTTGCTAAATAAATAAGTAAATAATTATCCCCTTTTGAGTATGAACTCATTATATTATACTCATTTTCCTTTCATAACTCTAGTAGTTTTATTTCTCTTTTAGTTGGTTATGCTCCTAATTATATAATTGTTAATTTCTCGTGAACATTCTATTTTTGTCAAGCAAACACCATCCTTTCTAGTAAGCTTCCCTTTAGTTCCATTTGCAGCACGAACATCGTTCTCCTCTCGATTCCCACAGTGCTCTCTATTGTGTTATCATTTCACAGTTACTGTATACAAAACTACTATGCCCCAATAACTTCCTTTTAAAAATACTTTTGTAAGTATCAATTATATTGAAAGCTATCTATTTTTGTCCTTCACTTAATCGAGCAATTCTAAAGTTAAATTTGCCATTTTCCTTAAAACTGTCCTTTACTCAGATGTCCTTAGCCTATTATGTATGGACTTTCAGCCTGGCTTTAACCTGTTTTTCCAACTTTTTAAACTTCTGTACCTTTACAGGGAAAGTTTTCATCTTTCTACTGAGTTGGTCTACCCATAGTTCTCAAATTACATGCATCCTGTGTTTATATCTTCACACAGGTGGCCTATCTGCTCTCAGCTTCATCTCTATCTGCATTGCATATCTTCGGCCCACTCTTTTTTTGGGTTCATTTTCCATGACCATCTCTCCAGCACACATTAAATCCTGTCTGAATTCTAGAAGCATTTACTGGTGCTTGGTGTGGGGCAGGTAAATGTATTTTATCACAGTGTACTTGAAAGGACCATGCCTTGTGCCTTGCACCTTCTGATGTACCAGGCACTTAGGTAGTCTCTGTGCATACTTTGCATACTTGGTTAACATTAGTTGAAAATGATGTGAGCACCCCACAGATGTCTCTAAATGGATTAAAATTGGAAGATAGGATGACTGTCAGGGTTTCTTAGCAGTCACAATTAAAAGAAAACCTGGTAAAATTTTAGAGAAAAGCAAAGGAATCATTATTTATGATGAAGGTTACATCTGGGAGCTAGGGTTAGGGTTACAATCAGGGAACAGCCTGAAGAAGTGGTTACTTTATAATTATTTAATAAAGTATATTTATGTTTTATGCTCTATTTTATGAGTATATAATATTTTGTCTAAGAAAGTTGTTCTCAACCAGAAACATTTGGCAATGTCTAGAGGCATGCCAAGAGGGAGGCTAGTGAGTGGAGGTCAAAGAAGTTGCTGAACATCATACAGTGCACTAGACAGACTCCCACCCAAAGAGCATCTAGTCCCAAAGGTCCATGTGCTGAGGTTGAGAAAAGGTAGTTAGAGTACCCGCTAGAATAGAAGCTGGAGCAGTGTTTGGAAGTAGACCTGCATTGTGCCTCATCTTGGGCCTCTCCACCATAGTCTTCTGGTTTTCTTTCTGGTGTTTGAGGGTGAGAAGAAGTCGCTTACTCATGAATTTTGTTCTTTTGTTTCCCTGATATTCACAGATCTTAAAGCCTCTGTGGTCTCATGGTGAAGGGTAGGCAAGTAACAGGAGTTAATGATGTTACTTAAACGTTATCCTTTCGGTAGCTTGTGCTTGAAATATCATGATCTTGATAACGCTAGATGCTTTACTGAAATTTCAGGGTGAAAACCAAAACAGCTGCCAAATATGGCCTTTCAGCCCAGCCCCGCCTAGTGGACATCATCGCTGCAGTCCCTCCTCAGTATCGGAAGGTCTTGGTCCCCAAGTTAAAGGCAAAACCCATCAGGACTGCTAGTGGGGTGAGTGATTCAACTCATTAAATATTGATACAGGGAGTTGGATGGCGGTGGGTGATTCAGACTCAGAAAGTCTGTTATGTGCTAGAGTGGAGACATGCAGAACGCTAGGAGCAGAGAGAGGAAACCAGTTAGTTGTGTTTAAATGAATAGATGATGTTTTGATGTCTTTAAAAGTAAAGATTGAGACTTGGTGATAATCACTGTGATAAATGTTGGCCCGCTAAAACTGATAGCTTTCAATATAATTGATACTTATAAAAGTACTTTTAAAAGGAAGTTACTGGGGCATAGTAGTTTTGTATATAGTAACTGTGAAATGATAACATAATAGAGAGCACTGTGGGAATCAAGAGGAGAATGGTATCTGTGCTGCAAATGGAACTAAAGGGAGGCTTACTAAAAAGCATGGTGCTTGCTTGACCTGTAAGTGATCCTCAGGTAAGTGGGCAAGAGCAGGCTCCAATGGTAAGGAGAGCAAAGGTACCGGGAACCAACGTGCACCAGGTTGGGTAATGCAGAGGGCCTGGTATGTGCAGGGACACTGAGTACACCAGACTGATGGGAGCCAAGGGTTCTTTTGGAAAAGCAGCAGGACATGAATTTGGGTTCAGCTGTGAAAGATCTTAAATATCTGGCAAAGAAGCTAGATAATCAGAAATTTAAAAGGATTCTGAGAAGAGGAATGATAAACAGATTTCAGAAAAATAATCTGGATACAGCATGCAGGGTAGTTTGGAAACAGAACGACTTGTTTGGAGACTTTGGTCTGAGTTCTATGTGAAGTGTAGAAATTTTAGAGATTGTTTTAGCATTTACTTCTTTATTTTCTTTATAGACATGGCTTGAATTTTAGGTCTGAGCATTACATATGAGCTTACTACTATGGAAGACAAAGGTTTAGTAACTTTTCAATACAACCTGTCCAGCTGGCTTCCATGGTAACAGCCTGCCTAATTCTCTTTCTGTCTTATCATTGCTGTCCCTTTCTTGGAGGGCTACTCTTGTTTTTGCTTGTAGTCCTGGGTGCATTGTATTTAGGACTGTATATGCTTTCCTTGGTAATCTGATTCAATTGTTTATTTCTCCTTTTTTTGTACAGGGATTAAACCTAGGGTCTCAACATGCTAGGCAAGGGCTTTACCACTAAGTTATATCCTTAGACCTTTATATTTTTTATTATGAGACAGGATCTCACTGAGTTGCTCAGACTGACCTTGAATTTGGAATCCTCCTGCCTAAGCCTCCCCTGTTGTGAGATTACAGGCATGTGCCACCATGTCTGGCTCATTTGATGTTTTAAGTATAGCTGTGTGCTGACCCTCTGTTGCAAACTTTCCCCAACCTCAGATCATGCCTTACCTGATAAATATTTGTCCATTGCCTCAAGTACAGCTTAGCCAAAACTAACCTTGGACTTGCCCATTGGTCTTTGCTACCATCCACTCAGTTTCCAAAAAATGTGAAATGCATCATCTGTTCCTCCCACCACTGGTAGAAATGTTTTGGCCTTTATTATTTCTTTTTTAGATTACAGTCATTTCCCAACTGTTCTACTTTGTCTTATGTGCATCAAATCCATCTTTGACATCACTGGAGTAATTGATCAAAAAAATACCAGAAGCACACAGTTATCCTTATGTGCCACCATTCCCTCCCCACCCTGGTTTCCCTGTGTTGGTTTGATACATTTGTTACAATTGATGAATCAATTTTGCTAGGTTATTATTAATTAAAACCTATTGTTTGCATTAGTGTTTATTCTCTGTTGCATTGAATGGGTTTTACCAAGTGCATAATGTCATGTAGCCATACAGTGCTGTATGAACTAGTTTCACTGCCCTTAAACTCTTTTCATTCCTCCCTCCTGATGATCCAAATCTAATCTGACAATCACTGATCTATTTAGTTCTTCCATAGTTTTGCTTTTTCCAAAATGTCATATAATTGGAGTCATACAATACAGTGTAGAGCCTTTTCAGATTGGCTATTTTGACTTAGCAATGTGCTTTTAAGTTTCCTCCTTGTGAAAAGAAGAACTCAAATTAGCACCATTTGCCAATGATATGATTCTATACCTAGAAGACCCCAAAAAAATTCTACCAGAAAACTTCTAGAACTAATAAATGAATTCAGCAAAGTAGCRGCATATAAAAATCAACACCCATAAATCAAAGGCATTTCTGTATATCAGTGACAAACCCTCTGAAAGGGAAACGAGGAAAACTGCCCATTTACAATAACCTCAAAAAATAAAATACTTGGGAATCAACTTAACAAAAGAGGTGAAAGACCTCTACAACAAAAACTACAGAACACTAAAGAAAGAAATGAAAGAAGACCTTAGAAGATTTAAAGATCTGTCTTGTTCTTGAATAAGCAGAATTAATATTGTCAAAATGACCATATAACCAAAAGCACTATACAGATTCAGTGCAGTTCCAATCAAAATACCAATGACATTCTTCATAGGAATAGAAAAAGCAGTTATGAAATTCATCTGGAAAAATAAGAGACCCAGAATAGCTAAAGCAATCTTTAGCAAAAAGAGTGAAGCCTGTGGCATCACTATACCAGACTTAAACTACACTACAGAGCAATAGTAACAAAACTGCATGGTATTGGCACCAAAATAGATTGTAGACCGGTGGTACAGAATAGGGGACACAGAGACAAACCCACATAACTACAGTTATCTTGTATTAGACAAAGGTGCCAGAAATGTACATAAGAGAAAATATAGTCTCTTCAACAAATGGTGCTGGGAAAACTGGAAATCCACATGTAACAAAATGAAATTAAACCTCTATCTCTCACCATGCACAAAACTCAAATCAAAGTGGATCAAGGACCTAGGAATTAAACCAGAGACCTTGTGCCTAATGGAAGAAAAAAATAGGCCCAAATCTCCATCATGTCAGATTTGGCTCCAACTTTCTTAATAAGACTCCTATAGCACAAGAATTAAAACCAGAAACCAATGAATGGGATGGATTCAAACTAAAAAGCTGCTTCTCAGCAAAAGAAACAATCGAACAATCTCTATTCAGTGAGGTGAATAGAGAGCCTACAGAATGGGAGCAAATCTTTACTCAGATAGAGCACTAATCTCTAAGATATATAAAGCACTCAAAAACCTTAACACCAAAAAAAACCAAATAACCCAATCAATGAATGGGCCAAGGAACTGAACAGACACTTCAAGAAGATTATATATAATCAGTCAACAAATATATGAAAAAATGTTCAACATCTCTAGCAATTTCAGAAATGCAAATCGAAACTAAGATTTCATCTCAATCCTGTTAGAATGGCAACAATTCTTAATTGTTTGTATTAAGAATACAAACAACAATAATTTTTGGTGAGGAAGTGGGGAAAAAGGCACACTCATACATTGCTGGCGGGACTGCAAATTGCTGCAGCCAATATGGAAAGCAGTATGGAGATTCCTTGGAAAACTGGGAATGGAGCTACCATTTGACATAGCTATCCCACTCCTCAGTCTATACCCAAGTACTTAAAAACAGCATACTGCAGGGACAACAGCCACATCAGTGTTTATAGCAGCACAGTTCACAATAACTAAACTGTGAAAGCAATCTAGATGCCCTTTAGTAGATGAATGGACAAAGAAAATGTGGTATATATACATAATGGAATATTACTCAGCATTAAAAGAGAATAAAATCATGGCATTTGTAGATAAATGGATGGAGTTGGAGAATATAATGCTAAGTAAAGTAAGCCAATCCCAAAAAATCAAATGCTAAATGTTTTCTCTGATATAGGGATGCTGATTCATAATGGAGTTGGGGGAGGGGAGTGTAGGAGGAATAGATGAACTCTAGATAGGGCAAAGGGGAGGGAGGGAGTGGGGGGGCTGGGGGTAGGAATGATGGCGGAATGTGATGGACATCATTACCCTAAGTACATGTATGAAGACATGATGGTGTGATTCTATTTTGTGTACAACCAGAGATAGGAAAAATTGGGCTCTGTGTAAAAAAGGAATTGTAATGCATTCTGTTGTCTCATATAACAAATTAGAATTAAAAAAAAAAAAGTTTTCTCCTTGTCTTCATGGCTTGGTAGCGCATTGCTTTTTGTTGCTGAATGATGTTCCATCATGTGGATGTACCCTTTGTCCATTTACCTATTGAAGGGCATCTTGTTTGCTTTTAGTTCTTGGCAGTTATGAACATAGCTGCTGTAAACACTCAAGATTTTTGTATATATGTACATTTCAGTTCATTTGAGTAAATATCAGGGAGTGTGATTGTTGAGTTGTATGGTATAAGTATGTTTAGCTTTGTAAGAAACTGCCAAATTATTTTCCCAAAGAAGCTGTTTGATTCTGTATTCCCACCAGCAACAAATGAGCATTGTTGTTGTTCAGTAGCCTTTTTACCATTTAGTGTTATCATTATTTTGGATTTTAGTCGTAATGATAGTTATGTAGTGATATCTCTTAATTGTTTTAATTTAAAGTTCCCTAATGACATAGGATTTTGAGCATTTTCACATGGATTTATTTACCCTCTATAGATCTTCTTTGGGGAGGTGTCTGCTCAAATCTTTTGTACTATTTCTAATTGGCTGTTGTTTTCTTATTAAGTTTTAAGAATTCTCTGTGTGTGTGTATTGTGCGAATATTCCATTCTGACGCTTGATCTTTTATTATCTTAACAGTGTCTTTCTTAGAACACAGCTTTTAAGTTTTAATGAAATGCAGCTTCCCAGTTTATTTTCTTTAATGGATTACATTTTGGGTATTATTTTTATGAGACCCGAGGTCACCTAGATCTTTCTACCTTCTGAAAGTTTTATAGATTTGCATTTTATAATTCAGTGTATGATCCAGTTGGAGTTTGTATTCTTTGAGTGTTTGCTTCTTTTGTGTGGAACACTCTGATTGTTGTTATTCTTAATAGTATCAATATTAGTAATAATAATAACAATAGCTACTTTATGTACCAGCCACTGTGCCAGGTACTTTATGTATGTTTTCTAATTTGATCCTCATAGCAGTCTTGAGGGTTAGATAGTACTGTCTTCATTTTACAAAATGGGAAAATACATAGCAAGGGCAGATCTTTCTCGTCGACTCCAAAGTACGATAGGAAATTACGGGGGAGCTGTGGGAGCAGGTCTCATCTCTCCCTCACCCAGTCCAGTTGCTCTTATTTCTTTTGGGTATTGAATTTGAAGTAAAATGTTACTTGAAGGAGAGTGTGATTACTTTAAAAATACTTGAGAAACACTGACTTGCTTTCCTGGCCCCCCTTTCCTTACCCTCTTGGCTCAGCTTACTTACTCAGCATGAATGTTCCATCCTCAGAAAGGCTGCCTGACCCTGTTGACCTTGGGCATGGTCCTCATTTTCTACAAGCTTCTTACCCTGTTGTTTTGAAATGGCCTATCTGCGTCCTTCTCCCCTGCTGAGTAGTATGATTTCAGAAGGCCCAGGCAGTGCATTATCACTTCTGTAGTCTTTGGGTCCACAGAGCTCTGTGTAATCTGGAACTGGCCCATAGGGAGCCCCTCAATAAAAGATTGTTGGATTACTGACTTCACCAATGAGGTATATGGTTATCTCATTTTAAATTAAAAAATTTGCTTGAAAATCCCAAGTTTTTATAGCATCATTTGCAGTCAAGAGAAATGTAAACAAAGGTATAGTATTAATTTATAACTGCAACAATTAACAGTAGTAGATACTGTATTTACCATTGTAATTATGTAACCACTTCCTATTGCCTTTGCAGTGAGCTAAAATGTTGCCAGTATCTATTTAAATAAAATCCCTATGACAGCAACAAAAAGAAAATCCCAAGGTTTTGGTTCCCAATTTTTAAGAGTTTCTTGCAGAATTACTTATTGGGGATTTCCTTACATCAGTATTTAGTGATTTAAATTATAATAAGTTTTATTGTGAGAAATAATCACAAACTTACAAAAAATTGAAAAGTACAATACACGGAACTTCCCCCCCCCCAACCATTTGAGAGTAAATTACAAAACTGATACTTCAGTGTATATTTTCTGCAAACAAGAATGTTTTCTCATATCACCATAATGTAGCCATCAAAACCCTGCAGTCAGACCTCATTCAGGTTTCACCAGCTGTTTCAATAATGTCTGGCAGGACCCAGCTGGCATTTAGTTGTCGTGTCTCTTGAATCTGCACACTTCCTCTGTCTTTCCTTGACTTCTTTACCTTAACCCTTCTGAAAATTTTGGGCTATCTTCTATCATGTCCCTCAATTTGAATTAATCAAATATTTCTTCATAATTAGACTCAGGTATTCATTCATCTTTGGCAGAAATATCACAGAGGTATTAACTGCGAATCTACATACATACATGCGCACTGTTGTACATAACTTATTTCCATCTATGTTTATTGGTGTCTTAATCTGTATATATTGAAAATGCTGAGTTCAGAAAAATTCCTTTAATTTCATCCTGCTGCAGGATTCACTCTGCTTCCCTCCCTTTCTGCCAGTAAGATACCTGGCTTGCATCAGCTTCAATGAATATCCTTACCTGGCCACCACCTCATGTCCTGCATCTCTGCCACCTGCTCCTTTCTCAGGCTGATACTTTCCTTACACAAACTGGCTCAGTCAGACCTTCAGAATATTTTGTACACAGTCTATGATAGTAAGACCCTATCTTCATAGTCTCTGCTGTGAATACTGAGATCTAGTGTGTCCATGAGGAATTTGGATCATAAAAGTTTAAGTTTTTTATAATTTTAGAACATTGCATAAAGTGATTATTTTCTTGTAGGTTATTTTAGTATAACAGTAAATCAGAGAGAGAATCAGAATCACCGTGCCATCTTTGAAATGTAGTATAAAACTCGTATACAATTCATACATTCATTTTAAAAGTTATTGATATTGAAATGAGAGATCACCCTTAGACCCCCTTAAGAGTACAGCATTACTAATACCACTGAGGCTCTTTGCGCACTACTTTGATGACATGCCTCTTGTTTCTTCTGAGGGATGACCACTCTCCAGCATTTTTTGTTAATTTTTCCTTAATAGTTTGTATTAATCTTCCTTTTATAGATTGCTGTTGTGGCTGTGATGTGTAAACCCCACAGATGTCCACACATCAGTTTTACAGGAAATATATGTGTGTAAGTAGAATTTTAAAAAGTTGCATGGGTATTTTCTAATTGAACTAGTAAATGCCCAAAACCCTTGATTAGTATATGCTGGTAATATTTGAAATTTTTATTTAATAGATTTATAGGTTCTCTGAAGCAGCAACTGTTAATAGGATATTTCAGTACTTTAAAAGTGGAATATATAAAGATTTTAATTTTTTACAATCTACAGAAACAAATACATAGGTTATGAAACTCAGAACAGTAGACCCTCTCATAACTGATTAAACAAACCATGGAAATATGAATTGCAGAAATTTAAAATGAATTCTGATCAGAAAATTATCAAAATAAAAATTTATCATATAAATACTTAGACATTTGTAAGAATGAACAGCGTGTATGTGTGACTCCAGGTGTGAAGATAGGAGGGAGATTTTTCTTGGGCATGATTGCCAAGAAAGCACCGGGTTGGTCCAACATGGAAAAATTTGTTATGTTCCCCTAAAAGTTAAATAAACCTCTAAAATAATAGTGACTATGGTATTTTGTAGATTAATGTAATAGTGCTCCTTTACCTAGTAATCTCACTTATCAGTAGAAAACTGCAAAGAGTGTTCCATTAGGATTGAAAAATGAAACTTGTTTCATGCCAGGATTTTATGGATACTGTAGGTACTTGAACTGGACTATTGAAATAGTTTTGTGTCTCACCTCCATGTCCTTTCATGGTATTGGCAGATACTGTCCTGGTGGACCTGATTCAGATTTTGAGTATTCAACGCAGTCTTACACTGGATATGAGGTAAAGTAATTTGAGGTTCTCCTGATCAAGTGTTACATTATTTTTCACCAATAGCATGGTCTTATAAGTACTCACTTTATTTAAATATTTTTCAAATTAATTTTTTTCCCCTAATTCTAAAAGCTGTTCATTGAGACAAAGTATTTTCCATGGTTCAATTTTTTTGTTGTGGTGGTGGGGATTGAACTCTGGGCCACTTTGCCACCAAGCTATATCTCCAGGCCTTTTTTATTTTTTATTTTGAGACAAGGTATTGCTAAATTGCTGAGGCAGGCTTCAAACTGGAAATCCTCTTGCCTTAGCCTCCCTAATCACTGTTATTACGGTATGTGCCACTACACCCAGCCATGATTCAAATTTTTAAAAATACCAAGTCTGTCATTTAGTGCACAGTCCCCTCATTCCTCTCTCCTAACCATCCTTTACTGCTCTTCCCCACAACAATCGGTCAGAGGTACCTGTTTCCTCTACATCCTGCAAAAACATGTTATGGGCTTGCGAATATGAATGTTTTTACCCTACTTCTTTATATAAAGGAGCATATCAAAACATAGTTCTGAACCCTGCCCTTTTCATTTCAGAACATGTCTCAGAACCTTTTACATAGTTTGATGGCTCTAGAGTATTCCATTGTGAGCAGGTAGCATCAAGGTTATTTGTAGAGGCATTGAAAACCATGTAAATTTAAGAACTTTGTTCAAAGATTATTTTGCCACTTAAATTTTGAGTATGTTACACATCTGTATGAGTGTATAGCCTTTGATAACCCTGGGGATTCCATAAGCCTTTCCACAAAAGGCAAGTGTTATCCAAGGAGACATCCTGCCTTTGAGGTCCCGGAGACTGGGTGGGGACAAGGCTAGCAAGATCCTTCTCAGGTTATTATTTGGAACCCTAACAAGACTAAGAAGGCAAAAATGAGATACAAACCGTAGAGAATTTTAATACAACCCTTCAGAACTACTTTTTGTTTTTTAATTTGATGTGGATATAATTGAATGTTTTTCGTTTTTCGTCTTAGCCAACTTCTATGCGAGCTATCCGTGCTAGATATGACCCTTATCTACAGACAAGACACCGGATAGAACAGGTAAATTTTTAAAAAGCATTCTTTTAAATTAGATTTTTGTCCTTAATAAGGTATTGTTGCTTGGGCTGGGGTTGTGGCTCAGTGGTGGAGTGCTTGCCTCACACATGTGAGGCACTGGTTTGATCCTCAGCACCACATAAAAATCAATAAATCAAGATGTTGCGTTCATCACTAAAAATAATATTTAAAAAAATAAGTTATTGTTGCTTTATTTGGGTTTGGCATGAAATAAAAATTATGTTTTCCCCCTTTGAAATTTTTAATATTTGTCTGAGGGAGGGAGATTGTTTAGTGTTGCACAGCCTGGTCAAAGATCTATTTTATTGAGAGACAGTATTATATTCTTTAAGGGTTGTATATTCTCTAAATTTCTTTCAGTTTGTAGAAAGTCATTTATGAAGTGTTTGAGAGCTTTTAGACAATTGATGAATGAGTTAATTTTAGCTTCGATAAGCCTGGTCAAGAAGTATTATGACTGGTTTGCTGGGTGAGGACAGAGAAATACTGCAAAGTGGTGTGAGAAACTTTTGGGGTATGAAATTGTTTTATGTAGTGGTCATGGCAGTGGTTGTACAACTCAAATATGCAACAGATTTCATTCATTGTGTGCTTGAGGTTAGTGGATTTTATTGTAAATAATTAACTCAGTGTTGCTGATTAAAAACAAGTATTGTATAAGTCTGCACTGTTCAAGAAATCTGAACATTAATGGATTTTTTTTGGTTGTTTATAAGTTTACTTTAAACTTGTCCAATTTTAAAAATATGAATACCACAGTTGTCATAGTTATATATGGTAGGGCAAACTTAAACTCTAAAATGGAAAGTACATACCTCAGTCAATAAGTTGCTTCCAGGTTTATTTAGCTCTATTAGCGAATACCCTGCAGTTCTCATTTCATGTCACTGTCCCGTAAGCATATGTGGGACAGTATTGTCAGCAGTAAGAAAGGGCCTCACCTGGGTGAGCCTAGTAGTTGGGAAAAGTGTGTTCTGAAGTGACTTTGGCTTCTTCTTCTTTTTTTTTTTTTTAAGCCATGATACTTGTGTAAAATGTACAACTCTGTTTCAATAGAATGTGAATGTTTGTGTTCACCAAAAAAGAGCATGGGTTTTGTGTTATTATTGTTGTTTTTTGCATCTTATTCATTTATTTGGGTGCTACGGATCTAACCGAGGGAGGAGCATGGGTTTTAGAGATTTGGAAACTAACAGAACAATTCTTTTAGCTGTTGGTGCACTAGAATCAACTGAGTAACTTCTAAGACATGGGGCAGATCTTTACCTCTGGAGATTTTGCTGACATCTGGCTTAGGGTCCTCCTGGCAAGAAATTTTGCAAAAGCTGCCAGGGGATTTTGATGTATATCCCTTGTAAACAACCATAGATTCGGAAGTAGAGTATTCTTTTAGTGTCAAAGTCTAGATGTATACATATCCAATTGTTGTTGTTTTTTATAGATTGTTGTTTGCCATTTCAGAAACAAATATTTTTAAAGGTGCCTTTGTCTACAGTTACTATAGTCATTTTTTTATTTGGTAAAAGTTTAGTTCATAATTTGGTTCTTTGACTCTGGTTTCCTCAAGCCTGAGAAAGAACAAGAAACTTAAATGCCTGTTTTTAAAAAAGAATCTTGACTTATTGTAATTGACAAAATGAAAGATTATGCTGTCCCTTAGTAAGAAGAAACATAGTATTTTTTTTTCATCAATCAGACATTCACTTTCAATTTTTTCCTCCAGAAAACAGGCTTGAGAGGCCACCTGTGCCCATAATCTTCAATTTTAAACTGCTTTCTTGATTTTCCTTCTAATCTAGTGTTTTTGTTTCTTCTGTTACTTGATATCCTGATGAGGTTGTATAATCATACAAGCATAATTATTTAATAGTCATAAACGCATCTTCCTTAATCCCCAAGGAATACCAGAGTCTGGCATAAAATACATGATCAGTGAATATTTGTGTTGTATTTTATCACCTTTACTGCTTTCTAGATGTTATTTCTGGTGTTTTTAATTTCCATTTAACTCTGAAGTTATTGGAATTAAGCCTCTTATTTTAACTCTCATCTTCACTCATTTGATCAGTAATTTTTTTCTTTCAGACTTGAGTCTGTTTTCTTATACACAGAATTAGTTAAGTGTGTTTAATTGCATCGCATTTTTGAACTATAATTGTGAAACAAACAACTGCCAAATAAAATTAGAAGTTTTGCAATAGCCCCTTAGAGTAGTTGCCTAAATCTTTCTAATGTTGATGATAAATTTATTTCTCTTTCAGTTAAAGCAACTTGGTCACAGTGTGGATAAAGTGGAGTTTATTGTGATGGGAGGAACATTTATGGCCCTTCCAGAAGAATACAGAGATTATTTTATTCGAAATTTACATGATGCCTTATCGGGACATACCTCCAACAATATTTACGAGGCTGTCAAGTAAGAAATCCTTATTTTTTTACCCTGTTCAAAGTAATTGTCATTTTGTCCTCCTAGCAGCAGCCTCTGARAATGCTTTTTAGCCTTCATCCATGGTCTTATTTCCTGTACTCTCTCCTGTTTTGGTGAAAGGATTATTTTCATTGAAATGATCTTAAAAAAAAATTGAATACGGCCCATTGATGTAGTAGTGTTCTCAAATAGAGTCACAGAATGTGGTCTCTAGAAGATCTTTTCAGACTTAGGCTGATCTAAAACTATGGGGTCTCAACTAAGACTTCCTTTGATTGAACTGGACTTTTCAGCCCACCTAATAAGAGGACTGGGTACTTACTATCCGAGACATTTAGCTGTTATAAAATCTAATGACTGTCATTTAAAAACTTAAGTTATCAGTGACTGTTAGTATTAGTAATTTCTGTTTATGAATGGGCTCCTGTTTCATGCTGCTATAACAATACCTGACACTAAGTACTTTATGATGAACAGTTTATTGTTTCATTGCTCTGGGGACTGGGATGACTAGTATAAAGGTGCCAGCATCTGGAAAAGACCTTCTTGCCGTGTCACCATCATGGTCATCACCATGGTCATCATGGGTCTATATCAGAGCTGAGGAGGGAGGGACATGAGGAATGGAATAAGGGAAGATATTTCCATTTGCTCTGTGCACAGGCATTGCGATAGGTGTTTGATTCACTTATTTAATACTAATAGTAAGCCTTGAGTTAAGTATTCAGATTATCTCTGTTCTTCAGATGAAGAAACTGAGGCACCTTGCCCAGAGTTGCACAAGTTCATTGGTGGGGGATTGGGGACTACACTGTAGGCAGCTGTGCTTCAGAGCCTGAACTTACTGCAGTGGTAGAATCTGCTAGGTGGAAAAATCTAAATGAGTGGCTTTGCGTGTGTGCGCATGTGCGTCATCAGGGCTTGAAACTATTGGAAGGAAATGCTCGGGTTTTCTGATGTATCCACCACCTCAGGATTTTTTCTGGCTTCTCTTTTATAAAAGGTTAGGGAGTATTATATAGCTAATTACATGGTTGTTCAAATAGTGCCCCTCCTAGACTTTTTTGTGATAGTAAATAGGACCAGATTTTAAGTGGAACTAAGGGTAGCCTTATTACCCATATGAAAGCAATTCTTGGCACTTAGTAGGCTTAGGTAAACTTGTGAGAGGCTTTTGAAGGAATGATCAAATGACYTTGGTAGGTTTGCCTCTTGGAAATGGGGATAGAGATATTGTTTTAGTCAGCTTTTTTGCTGCTGTAGCTAAAGGACCCAACCAGCACAATTACAGAGGAGGAATAGTTTATTTGAGGGCTCATGGTTTCAGAGGTCTTGGTCAGTAGAAGGCTGGCTCCATTCCTCAGGCCTCAGAGTGAGGCTGACATCATGGCAGGGTGGCAGAGGGAAGCAGCTCACGTCACAGTGATCAGGAAGCAGAGAGAGAAACTCCACTCTCCAGACACAAATATATGCCCAAAGCCATGCCCCAATTCTCACCTCTTCCAGCCACACCCTACCCCTTCAGTTACCACTCAGTTAATCCCTATCGGGGGATTAAATCACTGATTGGGTTAAGATTCATACAACCTGATCATTCCTCCTCTGAACCTTCTTGCATTGTCTTACATTTGAGCTTTTGGGGGACACCTCACATCCAAACCATAATAGATATCTTTGTGTACTGTCCCTCTTTCCCCTATAGCTGTCCTCGAGTTTGTAAAAGAAAAAGAATAGAGGGGCTTTTTCTTAAATTTACTATCTTGGGTAGCTCCAGGGCCTGTGTGAGGAACTCGCCGCTGGACAGTGCATGGTGAGCAGCCTTTCATTCGGCTGACCCTAGGGAATATGACAGGTGAGTTCTGTGACCTCAGTCATGTGATCTGTTCCCCAGGGGCTTGGAAGCAGGATGAGATGATGACTATTTTTACTGCTCATTCAAAACCTGATCATTCATGGATATGAGTCATGCTTAGTAAAATGCTGAAGTCTTCAAACTTTTAAGGAGTAATGATGTAATCCAGCTCATTCCTCTTAATACTGAAAGATCAAACTATAGCTTAGAAAAAAATGTGACTTGAGGGAACAATTACCTCAGAAGGTGACTGACGGAAATTCATTCAGCTCTGAAAATTCTCTGGGGGTGTGATCTGTCAAGACCATTTAATTTTTCTTCCTGAGCTTATATATACTCCTTTCTCAGTGTAGATTTCTTGAGTCGATGATCTTGCATATTGAGTAAAATTGAGCTATAAATATATTAAATGTTTGCCTGCCCCCTCCAAAAAGTCTGCCACACACAGCTTTCTACAGTCTGCAGTTTGGACCCTTGATCATCTGAAGCAGCCAACTAATTTGATCTCTGGGATGCAGCTAATTGACACTTTCGTCATTTGAAACCCTTTAACAATTTTGCTTTATTCTTGGGAAGTTTTATATGTGCAGAAATGTTCTAGTTTCAGGTGGTGTTGGAGTGTAAGTTATATGTCACTAGGGTAAAAATGGGGTTTTGTGTGATGGCTAGCTAACTCTGGATGGCAGTGTGTTTGTCCAAAAAGCCCTTGGAGAACAAAGCCTCTTTCAGTGGCAAGTGAGGCAAAGCCAGCATTGTTATTTCTGTTCTTGAGTTTACCTCAAGAGGGCAACACACACTTTACTTTCAGATAAAAATTTGTATATGATTTGAGCCCTCATTGTGACAGAGCTCATGAATGGCTCTTAGGAAATAATAAAAATACAATCCAAGAGCCATAAAACCCTTCATAATGTCATACTGAGTCTGCCAGCCCACACTCCATATTTTGCTCTGGTCACCATACACTGAGACAATGTGGAAAAGCCAATTTTGGACTCTTTGTTGCTTTGTTTTAATAGGGTTTTTGCTGTAATAGGGTTGTTATTCATTCTTAGAGAAACAATTGTGTTGTTTGTAGAAGTAGTAGTCTGATTAGCACTAGAGAACAGGAGAAAGAAAATTATTTTCAAATCTTAGCATCATTGGGAAATAAGGAACAGCCCAGAAAAAAACTGTCTTTGAAATGCTATGTTTTGTTCAGATTCTTTGGATTTAACCTTGCTGTTGCTGTCTTGCATAGAGGGTGTTCAGGAAAGCTGGTTGGTTTACTAGGATAGCCCCTTTCCTCAAGGATGTAGGTAATAAATTTCAGGTTCATCTTATTGCTAATTGACGTTAGTTGTTTTTGCTTACTAGCCACACTGGTGTAACACTGATTTTCACAAGCCTAGAAGGGTGTTTTTAAAGATTCGTTTTAAACTAGGTTAAAATTACATATTGTGGGCAGATGAGTAAACAGTTTTTTTGTGTGTTCGTTTGTTTTTAATTTTGTTGTTTTATTTGGTACTGGGGATTGAACCCAGGGGTACTTAACYAGTGGGCCACATACCCAGCTCTTCTCTTAATTTTTTATATTGAGACAGGGTCTCACTATGCTGCTGAGGCTGGCTTTGAACTCACGATCCTCCTGCCTCAGCCTCCCAAGTCACCGGGATTACAGGTGTGATCACTGCCCCTAGCAAATCAACAGTTTTTAAGGTTAAGAGTTTTCATTCAAAACAGGGCCCAGCTTCATTATTAGCTCAGGTGTTCCTATTTTCCTGTGTCTAATCCGAGTAAGGTCTACTTCTTAATGTAAGAGGAGTCAGGGCAGGGAAAGCCCCAACAAGGTGAGTCTGGTTATCATTTGTGCAAGTTAGTACCAAGCAGTGCACAATATCCCTGTGGATGGAGAAATTGGAAAGCTTAGTGGCCGGAGGTCTGTTCAAGGACACAGCAGACAGGGAGGATTCACTGCATCAACACAGTGCTGACCACTCATGGCTGTCAGCTACTCTGAGACTTCCCTGTAGTCTCTGGAGAGCATTCTTCACCGGTGTCCACCATCTCCTAAAAATCATGGCTCTGGAAAAGGACCATCAGTGGGCTCTGAATCACCCATTCACCAGAATGCATATGTTGCCAAATAACTCAGAACAGCCTTTTAGAAGAGTTTTATTCCTTTTTAATCAGCTCTGCCCAGAAGCAGTTTTACATTCCATCTTTAATGCTCCTTGGCTGTTTTCACAAGATGCAATTTAAAAGGGTAGTTACCCATTAAGAAGTGGGTGAGTCACACATTCTCCGTTGGAATTTTTAATTGATTTCCGTTCCTTAACTCTTCCCCCCCCCCAATCAATGACTTTAAATCCTCCAACTGTGTCCTTATATGTCTTAGAAAAGACATATAGAGTGCTAGGGAATACTGGGTTCCAGGCCCCAAATCAGATTCACAGACTTGCACAGCTATGAAGGAAGCACAAACAACCCACGCAGGCTTGAAAGAGCTAGGCCTGGCCCTGCACCAGCCCTCTTCAGGCAGGCCTCAGAACCTCCTGTACTCCTTCCTCCTCACTGATGTGTTGATTACTTCCTTCCATCGCTACCTCGGTTTTCATAGACGGCAACAAGGGTCCTTAACATTGTCTGGCCAGCCAGGATACAGACTTGGTCAGGTTTTGGTATCAGTGTTGTGCAGCCTCAACAAAGCAAATAAGAAATTGTTTCCCCTTCTGTCTTCTAGAGGAGCTCATGTGAGACCAATGTTATTTCTTCCACAAGTGTTTGCTGGAATTCCCCAGTGAAACTGGGCTGGAATTCTCCTTATGGGAGATTTAGGTGATTCACTAATTCCTTTAACAGATAGATACAGGGCTACTCAGATTTTGTTTCATCCCTGCCTGTCCTTTTTAGTAAGTTTTTCAAGGAATTTGTTTATTTCATCCAAGTTGTCAGACTTGGGGATTATGTTTATAGTATTCTCTCAGAATGTTCTTACTCTCCATAGGAACTTAGTGATCACCCCTCTTTCAGCCCTGGTGTTGATTCAATTACCTTCTCTTTTTTTCTTGATTGTTGTTCTTTGGATGTTGTTTATTTCTTCTCCATTTATTTCTGTTTTTATTTTTATTCACTATCTTTGGGTTTTCAGTGCTCT